AACAGTAGGGAAGTAGAGATACCAGGAGAAAGGGGATGGGTGCAGACAGGGAATGTGAGGGTCAAAACAGAGGTAAAGAATGCATAACAAAAGAGGGCTAAAGCAAGAGAGAGAAAGGTATAGAAAAAAAGGGTTGGATGGTTAGCATGTTGCACAGGAGAACATTATCCACAATGAATAAAGGCCTTGTTTGCTGTCCTGTGACCCACACAATGTTTGAGAAATCTCATGGGATGGCCAGATTTGATAGCAGAAGAAAACGAAAATGTGCTGCAGGGGGTGGGGGGACAAAGAGAAGGGAGCACATCTATGTTGGCCCAAATTGGATAACGATCTTCCTGATTGGTAAAGAAGCTGCTGTGGCAAGCAGCACACAAAGAAAACACCTTGATTTTCAAAGCAACAGCTAAAATTGTTTTTTTTTCAGCTGAAGTGTTTGAAAGCAGATTATTGAGAGAGTGGTGAAGTTATGTATGTCACAAACAGTGCAGACTGTGCGAACAGAGGCTTTCGCAGTTTAGGATTAACAGCTACCACAATGCTTCCTCACACACTGCTTTACAATTACTCCATCTTCATGGAAGCAATGATTAGAATTGATGAGCTCTTCTCTTAGCCTGACATCAACAACCCCCCACCTCAACCAACTCATCAGTGTGGTCTCCTGGCCTGGGAACACTATTGCTGAGGTGACTGGTATGCCTCATGGGGTGCTATTACTTTACTGGTAAACAAGCAGCCTATTGTGTCGCCAGTCGTGTGTGTGCCTTTGCAGTTCACCAGTCTTTCATATGCAATGAGAGGTATGGGCTGTAAGCAGACTCAGCAGAGAGAGAAGCCTGGACCAGGTCTTGAGACACACAGCTGGCTATAATCTCCCCCTGTGTGTATGCGCACGCGCTAGTGTGAGTGAGTGCGTGAGAAAGAAAAATAGCAAACACGCATACCACACAACCGCAGCACAGTCTCAGCTCTCCAAACCAGAGGTGGCAAAAGTACAGACATTCTGTACTTAAGTAGAAGTACAGACACTAGTGTTAAAAAATACTCCAGTAAAAGTTGAAGTACTGAAGCTACTTCTTTACTCAAGTAAAAGTGAAAAAGTACAGGCTCTGAAATTATCTCAAAGTAAGAAAGCAAAAGTAGCTCTTTGAGGAATATTTCTACCAGTTATTTTTGTGCAAAGCTCGCTGAACCTTGTGTGATACTAATGTAATAATTAAATAATATTGGTAGATAGGAATGCAGAATTTCAGTCTGAATTTTAGAGAAAAAGGAGGAAAATAAAAAGTCTCTCTATTTTCTGTTGCCTACATTGTAGAGGGTTTTAAACAGGAAAATGAGCAGGGAAGAGGTTAAAGTGGGATTCAGCAGGTGGGGGATCCTAAAATCAGCTGTAATGGCTCAGTGTGGGGGAAACTCACAAGAATTTCTATTGAGAGCTCCAGTAGATTTTCTTTGTGTACAGGCTGTGATTAGCTGATCTGTACTGCTGCTGCTACTCTGAGGTTTACTGCTCTTTGCTGAATTCAACAAGATGTCAGCAGATGTTGCATAAATTGTCCTCGCTGATTTCCATCCACTGTTTATGCTGTCCTTATTAATAGACAATATACAGTTGATATGAAGGTAGAATTCAGTTAATAAATCCCACCAACATCAGCTGCACTTGATGTATCCTCCCTCTGACCATGAGCACACAGCCACTGTGTACCAGTCACACATTGTTCTTTACTTAAAATCCATCACAGTACAGCAAACTCACCTGTTTGTCCTAAACAAGTTAAAAAAAAAAGAAACAAATAAAAAAAAAACCCTTCCAACTTTATCCACTGACTGTGGTCCTCGGTTTTGCCTCTTTCATCTCTTTTTGTGCGACATCCACTGGTGATTAATACGCAAATGTGATTGCCTGTTAACGGTCAAATTGGTTTGATGTTTGAAGGCTCAATGACGTGAAATAATAACCACCGTCAAATGGATTAAAGAAAAAGTCGCTAGCTTGTTTTGAAAATGTAAGGAGTAGAAAGTACAGATATGTGTTTAAAAATGTAGGGAGCAAAAGTTCTACCTGAAAACTCTAATCGAGTACAGTAACGAAGTACTTCGTTACTTCCCACCTCTGCTCCAAACAGATGTGTGCAAGCGAACAACAGAGAGATTCAACAGGCAAATGAGCATTCACGCAGCCCATCGTGAAAACTTGTAATGCTTTGAAACCTACTGAAATAAAAGCCTCTGTCTTCACAGACAAACTGCAGCGCATCCACCAGTTCTCCCCCACACAGCGTCTCCGCCGAGGCCATTTCCACTACGTAGAGCGTCAGGGCCAGTGCAAAGAGCAGCGCGCGACTCGTCGAAGACATCCTGTTGACCTGCGGAATGAAGCATGGGGGTCACCAAATGTAGCCATGACATGCAGAAAGTTGTGGCATACAGAAATCATTAACGAAATAACAGTTAATGACATTTTTTAAATACCATTTTTAATCAAAATTAGCCACTGGTTTTTTGTTTTGTGTTTTTTGTTTTTTTTTCAGACGAAGAGGGTACAGTCTTCATCACAGGCTCCCGGTGTGTACGGTGTACGTGCTCAAATGTTCGACAAAGTAGAAATTCAGAAAAAGAAAATCATCTCAAATCATGTCGCAATATGCAGACCCGCTCTTCACCTTCCCCGCCCGCTATTATCAGCTGCTGTCATGTCTGTCGCACCTGAAGAAGTGCTTATTCTGGAGGAAAAAAACAAGTCGCCAGTATCACCAGCTTTCCACTCTTACACAACCCTCCTGAAGTTGCAAGGCCGGCTGCTCGATAGTTAACTAGCCGAAAACACCAAACTCAGCATATATTTTCCCTTTGCTCACCCCGGAATGAGCTCACTGACCCTCAAACCTGCCGCCCCCTATCTGCCGGTAAAAAAATCAGCTGTTTGCTCCGTGTCCACGACACCATCCAGGCGCGAGAAGACTAAAATTACTTGTTCTTTTTCTATCCCAAATGCCTCAAAGCTTCTCCTCGCTGTTTATGCATCTTGAACTTTCTCTGCTGCATACAAATCAAAAGATGTCCCGGTTCTCATACTGCACAAAACTGATGCGAACACTGCATCTACAGAACCCGAACTGGTTGTCCTACTTATAAAACCAAGACAACACCGCTATAACCCTGTCAGACGTCTTTCATTACGCACACGGCAGAGCCGGAGAGTATAAAACAATTTGCTTGTTCTTTGGTTACCTTCATTCGGCTGTTCTGCGTTCTCCGGCAGGTGTGGCAAAGTGAGTGATGTCCGTATCTTTGCTGGGTTTCCATGTCAGATGGCAGTAGTCAAAATGTTGGGAGTTATTTGGTTGGAGAAATTGCAGGTGAGTTAGTTTCCCAGTTGGTTAAACTATAGAGATGGTGAGTGAGAAGCTGTCCCAAAGACTAGGCGACAGGCAAAACTTCTCAGGGAGAGGTATTATATACTAAAGCACGCCCCTTACACCCACCCCACCCCTTGCTCCTCCTCTTCGCCCATGAAAAAAAAAAGGCCCAGAGACGTTTTATGAAAGTGCTTGAAGGGAGAATAAGAGGGTGAGAGTCACAAAATATGGAACACTTCCATGGGCATTTTCCACGTTTACGCACTGTAACCTACAATCACAATGTTTACACACAGGACGCAGACTGAACAAGAATAGGGGTAATTCCTTCGACTCCAAGAAAAATGTCAATGTCTCCGCCCTGCTGTAATTAAGATTAACATTCAGTGGAATCACTGTGGCCAAGGTTTGCGGCTTTCCTCAGACTGCGTAGATGCAGGCACTGGGGTCAAAGGTGCCTGACAGTGAAGGGGAGATAAAACTGGGGGATCATGCAGTAGAAAGCGGATGCAGCGGGACACCAAGTGGGAAAGTAGATGCAGGCATGTCTCAAGCCACACATATGATGGATGGTCATATGATGGAGAGTCAGCATTGAGACAAATGTGGAGACTTTTTTAAAAGCTTTACTAATGCATTAGTATGCACATTATGACAAATATGCATCATACAGTCCAGCAGCACTACTTCATGCAGATATTGAGCAGGTACCGTCAGAGGAGACAAAGAGTGATCCATACTTTGACAATCTGATTTTAACATATAAACACGTACATTCACGTTATGCTTTATAAAACTCTTCGAGGGCCCCCTTATTTCAGTGTGTTCTGGTGAAGGTAAAGATCTGGACGTGTCTTCAGACTCATACTGACACCTGCTGGTCTGGTTACGGTACCTCCGTTTGTTTGTCCTCCAGCTTTCGGCTTTCCAGCTTTTGTGCTGGAATGTTGAATCCTGGATTTGATCGCATCTTCTTACCTGAACAGAAGGAAGCGTGTCCCAGCAAACTCGTGTTCTCTTTCACAGCTTAACATTTCTCTCTTATGCACAGCTTTTCTCGGGGTTATTTCAAAACTGCACACGCTGTAAAAAGTAGATCTTTTAAAAGTAGATAATATATAAATTTAATTTATATATTATCTTTTCTACTCAGTTAAGCGATGATTATGCAGAATAACAGTTTCAAAAATGGCTGATTTCCGATTTATTTATTTATTTTCAATAAAGCGCATTAAATAGAGTTTCTATTGTGCATTTAGTGTAATTAAAATGTCTTGAGGTTGTTTGTGCGCTTTAGCTTGTTTTTAAGACCGAATAACGTCTCAAAACAGAGATTGGTGACAGGAAGAGAACCTTAAGAAGATTTATTCTCTCAAAAAAATTCAATAAATATGCTGTGATTTTATGACGAGGCAGGCCAAAACAGCTAGACAGCTCCCTCTTGCGATAGACAAATGTAAAGCAAGAAGCAGCCAGGTGTCGTTAAATAATAATTCATGGCAAAGTATTTCTAGGTTTTCCCATCAGCGATAAGTGCAAAAACCTATCAAATATAATACTATTATTTATATTTTTAGTTTAACTGTAGGAATAAAACTTGATAAATCACAGAAACGATAGTGGAATGTTAATTTGCAGTTCTTTATTATCTGACAGTTTATAATCAATAGTTTATTACATAGATTCTCCCCTCCCCCTTTTTATTATGCATTTACACTGCAAGACGAAACCAGCATAAAATACACAATGCAAGACAAGAACAGCATATGAAAGCCATGGATTTAATTACTCAAATGCTAAATTCACATATTTGGAAAATAAAGCTTTTGACAGAGCAGTTACAGATTTTTTTCTAAATAAAATAAACGATCCAAATATACACCATTATAATTCTTTAATTTCAAAATATCTATACCATACTTATATAGTCTTCTTTTAATACATTCATTATTAGAGTTCCCCTTGATGTGACTCTAGATTTGACACATTTCTCAAACAACAAACTTTAAAAGCATGAATGGTCCAGTCAGTAAAACCCCATCATTTCACAAATGCAAGCATTTAAGATCTTTGGATACTTTGTCAGCGCTGAGTTTTGAGGTTTTAATGGTTGCAACCTTGCTGGAAAACCAGCCAACCACAACGAGCAAAACTCAGATTCATAGCAGCAGGTACGGCACAGAAATATGAACACATTGGCAATCTTCAACAGGACTCAGCTGAGAGAAAAGCAAACAACAGGCGGATGGTGAAAGACAGCGCATCATCACGATAGCACACTTAGGGCGTCTGTCAGCACTTTAAGCTCATCCTTTACACCTTCCAGGCCTCCTTGGATCTTCACTGGGTTGTCCAGTACTTCAACACTGCTGGTATATGGATCAAATCTGACTGAGAAGGGACGCTTGATGCCAGCTACATAAGCCCTGGTTAAAATTGTAAAGATGTAAAGAAGTCAGAAACTTAAAGATCTCAAATGGGGCTGTCTTTTTGCTCCAACTGAAAGTATGGACTAAAGCAACCAAGCCTGCAAATTGTCCTTGTGTTATAATTTGCCATGTTGTACATGCATGCAAATTATTGAGACTGTGGATTCCACAACATAAAGAAAACACTCCTATGTAATGATGCTCACATTGTTCTCTGTGCTCTTTCAAACATTCCAGTGCGGGTATTTTCTCATCCAGTGTGTCGGGGATGTCATGTGCTGCATTCTACTAGAGGCTGAATATTGTGAAAACACTCACTTAAGCTACTTGTTTTGCAGGGCAGCATTTGATCTGTTTGCCAAATAAAACTCCAGACTTTTGCCTCGGTAAGGAAGACTACATTAGGAACAGCTGTCTTCTGGCTGCTATGGCTGACCTACAATAGTTTGTGGCCTCAAGGGTTGGCTGGCTGTTCTCTGACCTCGTCCTCACATAACCCCTCTCTTTGTTGTTTTTCGTTGTTGTTGTTTTTTTTTACATTTTTTTATCAGTTCTGTATGTTCTTATGTATGTGTATGTCTGGTATGATAAAGAGCAGTACCTGAATTTCTCCTTGGCATCTGAAAAACTCTCAGAAATAAAGTAAACAGGCTGGTATGTCTGGTCTTGATAGGGCTGCACTGCTGCAGCCTCTGGATCAAACTCTCTTGTCTCTGGTTCATCAGACAGAGAGTGCTGGAAGTTTAAAAAAATGGAGAATTAGCTCACAGCTGTCTGTGTGTGCTGCATTAAAGGAAAAAAAAAGTTTGAACGTACCACAAGTTCACCATAAGAGGAAAGCAGCCCAGCTCCATAAGCCCTCACCTCACCATTTTGTTTACATAAGCCATACTCGACCGTGAACCAGTACAGCTGATGGAAAAACAGAAAGCAGGTGACTGAGAAGAAGTATGGATAATCAGTGCATTAGTTACATGTTAGATTTTAGACAAGAGGCTGTCCAAAGTAATGCATTTTCAAAGATATTTTAGCAATAGTTAATTCTATTGTTTACTATATGGGATATGTATCTTAGTTCGTGCTCGAAGCCCAGGCTAAGAAGCGTGGGAGCATGTGTGTGTGTGTCTCTGTTGGGAGATGGGCTGGCAACATGAGGTTCAACCCCAAACTTCACTGCAGTAATATTTATACAGTTTGTATGTGTTGTTTGTGTTCGAAGACAAAAGTCTTACTGTGGACAGTTTCTCAATATCTTCATCCGATGCCCCCAGTGAAGCCAAACCAAGGTTCTGTGGAAAATAATAGATCAGTTCTTGCTAAATAGCACAAAAGAACTGAATGATCTGTAAGGCTGTTAATCTCTTCAGCACTAACCTGTGAAAACTGGGCAAAAGTGCGATCAGCCAGCATGGGTACGTGGCCCAGTAATTCATGGACGCAGTCACTGAAGAGAAAGCAAAAGTTATTTCAATTCACGACAATGTTTGATCTTGAATGAAAAACACCACACAGTTCAGTTTGATTGGATGCAGACTTTATGATCACAAACTGGAAATTCAATCTGATTACATAACAGTTACAGAATGAAAGCAAGCCTGTTCTCTAAAGAAAAACATATCGAATCTTAAAATAATTACATAAACACAACAGCTTTTGCATATGGCAGCTTTTTAATATGAATTGTTGTTGCTATTAGCAGATGCTATGTGTAATTTCACTTGCATTTGTTTTTATGGAGTTATTTCTGATTGTATACTTTATAATTAGTTGAAGCACAAAGCCAAAAGAGTCACAGTAGTACTCACGGTTCTGGGGAGTGCATGGGGGAGGAAGCATGTCGGATGTACTGGGTGCACTGGAACACTCGGAATGCCAAACTGGCCAGAAAATCTCTGGCTGAGAGCAGGCCCGCCACTGGACGCAGCGCAAATCCTGTGCGCTCTGCATGTGTGTTCAGGGGGATGGTGGTGAAGGGACAGTAAGCAAGAGAGAGAGAGAGAGAGAGAGAATCAAACCCTGATAGGTGGAGTCGACATTCGCTAAGCGTCTGTATTTACGTATCTTTTCTTTTCATTTTGTCTTATCCCATTTTTACCTTTGAGGAAGCGTGACACATCTTCCAGCTGGGGAATGTTGTCTGGGCTGTACCCACAATGCCTTTCTAGGAGACAAAAAGCCTCAAGGTATTCACTGCAGGCATGGGTGGTGTACAAGTCCCTCAGGGTTGAATATACTTCTCGCCTAAATCAAGATTTAATTACATAAAAATTGAGATTTCATTTATTAAAATCAAAATCGTGGAAAAACTGGAAATAAGCAAAACTGCAGTGTAGTTTTAGAGTTATGGTTAGTGTTATGCGCCTGCTAATTAACAGTGTTTAAATTGGATTTATCCTGCAATGTTTAACTATTTCAAGCAATTTATTTCTTACATCGTATTTATAGAGCTCTTTTTTATTATGCTGTGTTTTTCTCGTATCGTATAAATCTTATGAAAAAGCACATTGCTATAATTTTTCTACTTGGTCTGGTGACTAAATTCATTCATTAGTGTCTTTTTTTTGTCCTAAACTGTTCAAGTAAAATATAAACATCTATTAACTTGCAAACAACACTTTGTTCTCAGGCTATGGATATGTTTTTTATTCAGACAAGCTCGAGCTGTCACCTCAAGTTTATTCTTGTGACACCCTCCATCTGAAGTTAATTTACCGAAGCATCCATAAAAGACAAATCATATGCAAATGACTCATTGGTTGGTGGGTAGACCACAATGTGTTGACAGTAAAACGACATAACAGTGAAATGTATTTTAATAGATAAAAACATTTTGTGTTCATTGTAAATGATAATTTTATGCTCACTGCTACTTCAGACTTAACTTTTCATATCTTATATTATCAATATTAAAAACTAGCGTGAAAGAGCCGCTTACCATGTGCCAATCTCCTCCTCTGTGTATTCCACTCTGGGGATCGAGTGCCCACTGAGGACAAACATATGCACACAATTATTACATTTCAATTTTATGTCTATTTTTTATGGTTGTGTGTGCAGTATTTAGGAAAAGGCCCATCTCACTATCTGTATCTGAAGGCAATGTCACCAATCATTCTCCTCCTCTGTCTGTAGGCAGGATCTGTGTAGCCCTGTTTAAATCAAATATACCAAACACAGATCACATTTTCTGTAACAAGCCCAGTAATGACAGCTATTTCTATTCAATTATTTCTTCTTCTTGGCAATGTCATTACTTACTGGATGGTCATGGTCTAAGTCTGGATCAAATTTGGTGACCAGATGATGACACCTATCCAAATCTGCAATTTTCTTTGGGAACCAGTGGACTAGTTGAGAAAACAGGGAGAAAAAAATAAACTGTTCTGTTTTTTGCTCACTTCTACAGACTATTTAAAATGTTTCGCAATTATTTCATCAGTTACATTTGACTTCTTTGGTGGTTTTGACATCCTCTGCGTTCCTCTTTATGGAGCTGATCAGGGTACTGACATCTGAGAGGTGCACCTCACAGCGGACAAAGTACTCCAAGCCCTCCAGGGTGTCTTTGACCTTCCGGCATGGTCGCGTCTCCAGATGGTGAATCTTAGCTTCAAATGTCTGAAATACAGTCAGCAAGCTGAGATGTGACTGTGGTAGCAGAGATCCAGAGGTGAGAAGTATTTGTGAAGCACAATAACTGATTTTGGATGCACACTTTCCTGTTCAAAACATGGAATAACCCCCCACCCCACCCACACATAGATATTTTTTTTTCCAAATGGTTTTCTTCCATGACCTTTTTCGGTACTTCTGTGTGACTAAAATGTGTAACCAACTTTAACAATAGCCAATAAAATATTATTCAACTTTTACATATCCACAATATTCCACTAAAATAAAAAACATTTTACAATTACCTTGTTGTGAATCTTGACTACTTACCTACTATAAAACCGGTTTTAATTTTCCCACACTTATTGCAACCCTGTTGTCTCACCAGAAAATGGGTCATAGCTACAATATTAGAGTGCAAATGTTGATAACTGTATTATTACCAACTAGACACAAATACCGACCAATGGGAATCTTTGCAAAAGAGCAAATCCAGTAGCTTAGTGTGAATTTATGAAGCATTCATAAATTAATTATTAACAAACAAAATAAATAGTCACATATAAATCAAAGTAAATCTTTAAAATATTTAGTTACCCCTTAAAACTCTATTAGAATAAATTGTGATGGATTACCTCGAAAACCTTGAGTGTCCGCGACAGCGCAGGTGTCTTGGAGTTTCTTAAAGTAAAGAAAATGTTGAGGAGTGCTTTTCCATCGTCCTCCTCAAACACTATCTGTTCACTGGCCTCTGCAGCCTCTGCCGCTGCAGCGGCTGCTTCCCTCTCCTTGCGCGCGTCCTCGATCAAGCTCTGCCGTCTACCGACGAATCTTGGAGACTGTTTTAAAAAGAGAAATTAAAGTTCTGCTTGTTACGATGTAACTGTAAGACAGTAAGAAAAGACAGACACGACACCACATTGACGTAACTGATGGGCTTTGCTTACTTTTTGGATGTCTCCCTTGATATTTGATGGGTGCGCTTTACATCTCCAAATGCGCATTAGATCGGCAATGCAATCAAGGTAAACCTTACGACATATCTAAGAGTAAATAGCGACCACAGCACACATTTTAGCAGATTTCAACTGTAAAATTGAAACGTGCAGGATTTGTTTTTCCTTCCTGGGAAGCTGTTCGTTTGAGATGTGCGCCAGACAGCGACGCTGCGTAATGAACATCTTGCCAAGTTTTCTTTGTGCCATACAACAGTTTCCGTGATTCGTTGAAAGTATTTTTCTTAACAGATGACTCCACAGACAATCACAGATTTCTGTTTGTAATTTAAAACAAACTTGTGTTTTCTAAAATATTTCTTACCGTGATGGAATCAGATCTCTCCAGCTCGGACGCTGCTCTGCGGACGCTCTTTGTGGAGGATGTGGAGCTGGTTGAAAGCGGCATCTTCAGGCTCGGAAGTCTGTATTGACTTAGCTTCTGTGGCAGAAGTGGTAGTATGGTTTTGGCTCTCTCTAAACCTCTCAGTCGGTGCTGTGTGCCCACAGTTTTTCTTTTCTTTTTTTCACCACGGAGGTTTCCCCTTTTTATGGGATCATTTGTTTGCCGTTTCTGACGTCAAACACGCTAATCTCAATCTAATCAATCAATGCGCAGAATCTATCAGTCTCATCCCAATTTGGAGCGTGCTGTATAGTTTGAGACAGAGCTCTTTTTTGCAGATGTTTGGCACATTCTCATTGGCCTTTATAAATGCACTTATACTTTCAAAATTTGGCAGGTAAAAAAGGCAAACACGTTTCAAGTTATTAGGGTAAAATTAGAAGTAAGTGAACTGCAAAATGTAATAATGTGCTTTAATATATTGTATGAATAAATTAATATACCGTTTTCTTAATTAAGTTGTTTGCGTCATTAAAATTTAAATAAGTAAGGCGAAGCTGTGTGTTGTATTCAAGCAGCGGTTGGATACACTGTAGTCATTTTTAGACCATAATTAAAGCTTTGACCTCAGGGCTTTACGTAAAGGTTAGACCAGAGAAAAGTCAACTGCGGAAAATTAAGTCACTTTATCAGCTCAATCCAATCTCCACAGCTCCTCACAAATTAAATTTCATTTGGAAAAAAAAGGAAAAAGAAACACATGCACAGACAGAAGAGAAAAAGAACAACGGATTGTTTTCCTGTTTTGCCTGCTCTGTTTCTTACCTCAGCAAAAGCCATATCAAGTGAATTTGTACCGCTTTTGCCTGACGACTTTAGTGGTTAACATGATTGTGAGTGATGTACAGTGCCCAGAGGCAAGAAGAGGTAAAATGATTATTTGTGGACCTTTTGCCACTTGCTCTCACAGCAGCAACCATACAAGGCTGCAGAGGAGGCAGGTGGGGCCCCAGTGTGACTCTTACTTAAACCCAAACACAGGCTCAAAATGCTAAAGAGCACTGATGTTGCCCTGGGCGCAGAAAATGCAGGTTGCTTCCTTAATTGAAGGAGAGCTAGTCTAAGGAAGTAAAGAAACCTGAAACAAACAGACAGTACGATAGATACTACCATTCCCTTTTTGTGAGCCTACAATTCTGCATGGAAACAGTAAATTGGTGTATCTTTTTTTTTTAAAGAAGCTAGTTATGTATTTTTTTTCTCTGTATCATGACCTTTTTAGAAAGTGGCATGACACAAAAGACTTGGCAATAGACATAAGGTTGACATTTATCCAGAGATAGGAATAATTTTATGCTATTTTTTCCATCCATGTCTTTCATGTGAAATAATTCTTTCTTCAGGCAAATTACACTTGCAAGGGGCCAAAAGTAGTTGAACAAATGACTGTAAAGCTGTTTCATGTACACGTAAAAATTATTTATTCATTAATAATTTAACAATTAAGCAGGTAAAAGGTCAGGAAATGATTGCAAGGATTGTATTCTGAAACCTCTGCCTTGAATCCTCAAAAGACCCATCAAAGCAAGTGAAATAGGCAATATTTATACTGTATATGAAAAAAAATCCAACAGAGAGATAGCTGGGACATTAGAAGTGTTGAAATTAACAGTCTGGTACATCCTGTGAAAAGCAGAAAACATTGGTGAGCTAGGCCACACAAAATGATATGGATTTAGCACAAAAAAGCAGTGGTGTATGGTCATATGATCACTTGCATGGTAGTGAAAACTACCTTACATTAATTCAAGTAAAGAATACTTTCAAGAGGATGGTGTGTTCAAGTACTGACTTCACTAAAGTAAATACAGAGGCCTCAGCAGAAGAGGCAAACCAATGATCAGTGATCCCTCTCGAGAACAGAAATCAATTAAACTTTTTCAATAATAAAACATAAATAAAAAAAACTCAGGCTAACTCTGAAAGAGAATATATTGGATAGCAGAAACTGAGTTCAATCTTTACTGGAATGAGAGGAAGGATCAAATTTAGAGAAAGGTCGTGAAACACATTTCTTTGGTTATCTGAGTAGGATTCAGACTTTAGAAATCCATTGTCTGCAAAAATTCAAAGTATTTAAAACACATTTTAATATATGATGGTTTGTTCAATTATATTTGAAGTGCTAACAGACATATGTGTATAAGAATTGTTATTCCTAAATCTTCAATATATTTTTGTTCAGCCTGTTTAATTAATGCAGAAATTCTGCATTTCATCTACATCTCAGTTGTTCAATTTGAAATCTGTTCTGGTGACATACAAAGCCAAACTCATTAAGAGCACCACCTTCTACATAATTCCAGATGTAACTGTAAATTATAAGAGCTGCAAAAAAGATTACTTGATGTGATATTGATTAAAAGTTGTATTCTTAAAAAAAAAAGTGAAGAAAGAAATGTGTTAAAATTGCAAGCAAACAAAAAACATTTGGAGTACATGTCAGTGTAAAAAAAGGAATTTGGTAGCTCAGAGAATGAAGTATCGTGGTGCTCGAAATAGAGAAGAGTGTTCCGGAGAAGAATTGTATTCCAAAATACTAGAGATAAAACCCAAGTTTATTTAAGTACAACCAAATTCAGTGTGTCTGGGGAAGGACAGCAGAGCTACAGGCTGAATCAGGATGAAGATAAACTGATATCCATGCCTTTCCTCCCTCCAAATGTCTGCTTCCTGTGTCAGCACAATTTATCAAGACCATAGCCCACTGGACATCACATAGAGAGAAAGCACTCTTGATTTCCCCTGCTATTTATGTAACAGAAAGCCTGGCTCTGACATATAGTATGCATTATTTCTAGCCATTAATTTTGAAGTGATATGGTGTAGTCTAGCCATTTCTGTGCCGATGGCAGTAGCTTCCCCTCGTTCTTATTGTTTTCTACAGTTTTCCCTTTCCCGATAACTCTTAGTCCCCTCTTTTGTCTCTCTTTCTAACAGGACATTGCAATTGTTACTGCTCATCCAGTCAACTTACATACAGCCACTAATCAAGTCCCTGTGCACATATGCACTAACTTCACTCTCCACTATTTACCAGATCTTTCAGTTAGCATAAGTGACACTAATGCTAAGGGCGAATCTAACCAGGTCAAGCTGACTCAGCCAGCTGAGTAATCCTTGTTTCACTACATCTCTGATCTAATTCATGCTTTGCCCACTAATTGCGAGCCTCACCGAGCTCATAACTACTCTGTGTCCACCTGCCAGCTGTCCAGTTCTTAGATTTAGGCCATTCCTTAATAACTAGTAGCTATTTGCTAACCTGCCATGTTCACTGCTTAGCTCACATTAAACCTGCCCTCATCTTCCTCCCAGCCACAACTTTAATGAAGCTTCTCTTCCTCCATCTTGCCATCCCCTTGCACCTTCTCCTCTTCCACCACCCATTTCTCCAGCCAGACCATCGTTTGTTCCTGATCTTGAACCTATCACTCTGGATTTTGTCTCTTGTCTCTTGCATTTCTTCGCCTGTGTAAGATGACATTTAATCAAAGGCTTCTAACATTTTTTCAAAGCCAAATACAAAATTCATTATATTTTCAAAGTATTTTCATGCAGTCTAAACATATTCTAAACAACAGGTCAGATTTTCATCAAATCATGTGTCCAAAAGTTAGATAAAAGCAGCAATTTGTCAAGATTTGACAGGATACCTCCTACCATACCCTGTCAGGAACTGACTGCTGCTACAGTAACCGTTAAGATGGATGGCGTCCCGAGAAGAGAGCTACAAGTTAACCTTGCACAATCAATATTTTGGATGGACAGTATGGTGGTACTCAAGTATCTCCAGAATGAGGCCACGCATTTCTGCACATTTGTGGCAAACTGGACATTATGAACAATGCTGGGCATCCTCTGCACACGGCCATAAACAATCAGAAGAGTCTGTTCAGTGACAGGTTGCTTCTCCCCAAGACAAGAACTAACAGACTTAAAAACTCCTTTGTCCCACACGCCATCAGACTGTTTAACTCCTCTCTGGAGGGGAGAGGGAGGGGAAACAGGAAACAGGAGGACAAAGGAGGGGGGAACAACTAAGCTGTAGTGCCTCTTCACCTCACAAATTCATTATATTTTCAAAGTATTTTCATGCAGTCTAAACATATTCTAAACAACAGGTCAGATTTTCATCAAATCATGTGTCCAAAAGTTAGATAAAAGCAGCAATTTGTCAAGATTTGACAGGATACCTCCTACCATACCCTGTCAGGAACTGACTGCTGCTACAGTAACCGTTAAGATGGATGGCGTCCCGAGAAGAGAGCTACAAGTTAACCTTGCACAATCAATATTTTGGATGGACAGTATGGTGGTACTCAAGTATCTCCAGAATGAGGCCACGCATTTCTGCACATTTGTGGCAAACTGGACATTATGAACAATGCTGGGCATCCTCTGCACACGGCCATAAACAATCAGAAGAGTCTGTTCAGTGACAGGTTGCTTCTCCCCAAGACAAGAACTAACAGACTTAAAAACTCCTTTGTCCCACACGCCATCAGACTGTTTAACTCCTCTCTGGAGGGGAGAGGGAGGGGAAACAGGAGGACAAAGGAGGGGGGAACAACTAAGCTGTAGTGCCTCTTCACCTCACTGTACAATACCTTGTGCAATACTTTTTGTAAATAGTCAACAGTGCAATAGACTCAATACTTGAAATGTGCAATTCACTTGTATTTTTATTTTTTATTCCTATTTATTCTATTTATCCCCTTTGTATATTTTATTTATATTTGTCTCTGTATTTATATATGTGTGTGTGTGTGTGATATATATATAATATATATATATATATATATATATATATATATATATTATATATATATATATATATATATATAATATATATATAACAATTCTGTAACTTCGGTCGTTGCTGTGCTTTTTTTTTTTTGGAAGTTGAATTTCCCAGAGGAACCCACCCGAGGGATTAATAAAGTTCTATCTTATCAAACAGAGTTTCAACTATCCTGAAAAGCTCTGGCATGCATGTGTAGAGACAAATTAGTACAGAAAAGAATCAGGCTGACTGTAGGTGAAAGAGTAGGTGAATTTATGAGAAACATGACCTGGGTCATGATTTTCTTTGCACTCCAG